TACGTCAGAGGACATATCTGCAATAAGAGGACATAAGTGCAACGGTACAAATGTCTCACACCTGCCACTCTCCTCTCGTGCCTCCCTCCGACGGCTTGAAAACGCAGTCTCCTGTTGGAAGGGCCGAGGAGGAATTGGCTTCGACTGAAGCGGCCGTTGAAAGAGGGGAGGGGGAAGTGGTAGGGTGTATACTTCGTGGCTCAGTTCCCCTAATCCCTTACGTGGTTTAGTTTCGAGCGCGTGCAGGCCTTGGTCCTCACATGATGATTTTCAACAACGCATGTGTTCCACCGTGGTGATATATTACGGCTGGTTTCATAAGTTTATTCATTCACTCCTTCATTCTTTCATTCTCTCATCCATTGTTTCTCAAATGTACCATGGGTGCTTTTCACCGGCAAAAAGATTAAAAAATTCGGTTAGGTTGTTGTAATAATGAAACCACAGAACCCAGTGAACCATTGGATAGTTACCCAAAAAAAGATCCACGTCTTAATAAGCACCTTTCCCGAAATAGACACCTACCATCTTGGTAAATAAGAAAATACTGGTCCTTCTTAAACAAGTAGATTGTAAAGCAAGTCAACTTACAATAACTAAGCAACAGCTAGCGAGCACACTAATTTATTTTCAAATCAAATGCACAAAAAAAAGAATTCCAGGTCATGTTCACAAAATTATTTACAAGCTACAGTGCATTTTGATGTTAGTCAGACGGACGCTTCAGGTTACTGCATGTATAACAACAGCCTTCACTTACAAAATTGATTTAACTAATGATTTTTACGTGAAATATCTATCACAAGTACGAGAAAAAAAAGTACCCTGAGAGGCGAACTTTCCTTTTAGGCGCTGGTGTAAGAAAATTTAAAATGTGCCCCTACACATGACCAAAACAATCGGGCCTCCGTCCACAATCAAGGAAAATAAACAGCACCCGACAGCAGTTTTTCTTTTTCATTTGAGAGGTTCAAGCGCTTTTCGAATGATTGTATCATAAACACCAAAAAAACAATAGCAAAGTAATGAAAGCGGCAAATCTGATTATCGGAAGTGAACTGAAATTAGATTTCAACATTTGAAATTCAAAGCCTTCAGGTGAGGACAATGTATCAAGTGGTCAAATATTCGATTGATTGAGAAGATGGTGCAATCTTTTTTCTTCTGACCAGTCACAGAACAATGTCGTAAAGCGAAACGAACCAAGAACAATTTCGATTGTCAATTAAAAAGATCTATCACATGTAACCTCTACACCGCTGCTTACCTGAGAGTCTAGTAATGCGCATGCTTAAAACAACAATGAACATGTAGGAGGTAGAGGTCACCATTCGTCTCAAAGGAACAATTTTCTCAAAAGGTTATTTAATTGCCTAACCTTATTACTGTCTCTCTCTTAAGATATCAGTATGAACAGTCATAAAAGACTGTCCTTCTCGGAAGATTAAATACAAAGGAACTGCATAACGTTACTTATTCTGTTAGCAAATTCTCGTTCACTGAGTAAACGGGGACGGAAAATTAAAAAGGAAGATGGCCTTGGAGGTGTGAAGTGGGAGTAGAATGTTTTAGTGCCAATACTTGACAATTAGTCCTGACACCAAACTAAATGATATAAAAATCTTTGGATGGGAGGGGGAGGAGTGTAAACATGGTATCTGAGCCCCCCCCTCCCCCCACCTCATCCCATCCAAGACCCCTTTAAATGACTATTCTATGGGTTGACCGGTTACTTTAAGTCTACAATCTACTGAGTAGTTTTGTGGCTTATTTCCTGGAACAACAAGTACCACTGCACGTGTCTCTATTACTAATTGGATTATTTCTTATCATTATTAGTTGATAGTATCAGTTGTTAGTATTTCCTCCATGGCCTGGATCATTTTGACTGTGAGGCAAAAGAGCTAAAGATCCTGAAATAAAAAGGACAGATTTCGTATCGGTAAACTAAAATGATAGTATTCTACTTAAATCTAGCGTAAATTATAGCAGCACGACTCAATCTTGTCGACTGACCGTTAAATTAGGCTACCTACTAATGACTTTGGTCATAAGAATACGATTCACGAACAAGACAATAAGTAACAAGCTCACAGCCCTATACATATGGTACGCGCTTCGTATCTCACGGATAGGACTAGTTTAACACTGGCGGATTACGTGTATCAGCAACAAGAACAAGTAGAGCAGCAATTGTAGGAAACTTTGAACGATCCCGACATAATTTTTTTTGAAAGATTTCCAATCTTGTACCATACAGCAGCAGGAGAAGCGGTGCCGTAATAAATGGTGCTGGGAATCGAGAGGACTTGATGCTGTTTTCTTGGGCAAAACACTCAACTATCACAGTACCTCTCTCTCCACCCAGGAGTAAAAATGGGTACTAACAGACTCACCCAAGAGGGAGTGGCCAAACTTGTTTTCACTTCATGTTGCGGAAACCAGGGCAATTTCCGGCCAGATAGGCCACTTAGCTCGATAGCTGACTTGTAAACATTTCCCGTCCCGTTTCATACTTTATAAATTACTAATGCTCATTTACGGCCGAGAGGGAGAGCCAGCGGGGTCTACTGTGTTTATGCCCTTTGCTTACTTACCTGTCCCGAAGTTGTCTATTAGTTCTTCATCACTGTCGGCGTCTGGTGCTGCACTGGTGGGTAAGGGTACATAACGCAACGACCCCCCTGGCTGCGGATGCAAAGACTCTTCATTCTCACCGTCATCGCTTTCTACCAGGGGGTCCCTCAGTTGTGCACCGTCACTGTATAAGCGGAGGTGAGTGTAGCGGCTTCGTAAAAGGTTGTAGCGTCTGGAAAAGGAGTACAAGGGAGTTGTTAGCCACAGACTGAAATCGGTCCCGAGTTCTGGGCCTTGAGATATCAAGAAAGATGGGGCCTTTAACTCTCGAGATCAGAGGCCGAATTCTCCCAACTAATGAAAATACATCTCTTTGTTAGCTACTAATGAGAAGTTGATGCTCAATCCTTAGAGATACCTTTCATAGAAATATCGCAAAAGATAGCGTGCCGGAGTGGTTACGTCGCTACAATTGCAATAAAGTTATCCCAGGAACTAGTCCTTTTTCCTGTCACCTGGCTTTGAACTCGTTTAGCACGATTCTACGATTCACGATTCGTTTAACATCGATTCTATTTTTGGACTTCGCCAAAACTGAGGTAGGACTGCGCGTGGTCTATCAACAGTATTAAAAGGATAATCATATTTCTCTACGGGAACAAAGAACTCACACAAAAAAAAGTTTCGCTGCGGGGATCATTCCTTCACTCAACTTCATGCGCAGGTCAAAATAAAAGTCATTTCAATAACCTTGTTGCTCCATCATAACATTCACAAACCTGAGGAAATACACCAGAGTCCCAACGAGAAACACAACCACGAGCGAGGCAGCGACGCCAACACCAATGGCCAACTGCGTACCTGAGCCGGAATCGGAAGACTGTGTTGGAAACAAACCACCGCCACCATAGTCTGTGAAACAACAAGAATAACGAAGGTTCTCACCGTCTTGCAAATCGTAATGCACAAAAAATATACTGTATAATAAAATTAAAAACTACGAGTGTGCTTCATATGTACAACGTCTCCGGCGGTGCCACACCTCAACTTAAGCAAAAGACATGCAAACAGCATTGAGGAAACTTAAATTGGGAGATTAAGATGTTACAACAGCGACGTGTGGTAAAAAGGTCGAAAAACGGAATTAATTTTCCTCCAAGATTTTCGCCTCACTTCACTTCGGCATGACATGTAAATTTAATGTTGAGTTCAATCTAAAACCGGGACTAGATTGCTGTCGAGGTTTTGTTGCTAAGCCTCGCTATTGTTTTGCTCATAAGATCCTTTGTCTCGCTACGTTCTTGTTGCCGTTGCCGTCGCCGTCGTGGTTTTCTCAAAGTCCCTGATAAGTCGCCTTCACGGTTTCTGCCCTCAGTTTCGAGAATATGGTGTTAGATCAAGAAAACCTCTACCTGATCAGTTGGCGTATTCTCGTTACCTGTTTGCTTGCTAATGTATGGATATTAAAGGGAGAAGTTACATGTTCATAACTCCTGGGAGTTGAAGGGTTAAAGGCAAAACTCAAGTTCCTCCTCTCATAGATGATATCTCATATGAATGCAAGAAGCTTCTCTCCTTCGTTGCATGCATTGGATACAGTATCACAGATCAAGGTACCTCTATTTGGTAGCACCTCGACGTGTGTGACTCTGACAGTCAAATCCTTAGGCAGCTGGATCTTGACCGAACCCATCTCCACCTTAAACTTCAGTAAATCCACAATCTGAGGAAGCAAAGACAAGTCAAGTCTTGTACCACGGGGCGGGCGGTACAAAATATTGACACAAAACAAAACAACATAGAGACAAAACTGCAAACGGATGGGGGGGGGGGGGGGGGGCGAAACTGGAAGGTAACGCTAAAAAAAACCGTTTTGTCTGGTGTTTTTTTTCCAAAAGGATCTGGCCTACGATGCCAAATCTTAGGAGTCTTAATCCGAAGGAAAATGGGACTGTTATGCTGTCTGCATAGAGAAGAGACTGAAATTTGTTTACCAATAGTACTGAGATCAAATTTTAATAACAAACAGTTTTCCTTAAAAAAAACAAAAAAAGAAATTTAATTATAACTTTGTCCCTTTTGATGTGGTCACTTCGGATGTGGATCGCAGCGTTTCGACTGCATACAGCTAGTCTTCTTCAGGCGATGAGGTGGATTGAGTACGCGTTACTTATATGCTGTTTTGATTAGCTGTGATTGGATGGAATTCCACATTTTAACGATTGTATAATACTATTGCCATGGATAAGCAGGCGACATGTGACATGCGCAGACGTTACTTGGCACTGTAGTTCGCATCTACATTCATTCTTCGAAGGTCGTTTGCTAGTAAGCCTCGATCCAAATTTTCTAACGCACGTCCTCCTATATCGAAGGTGGAATAACGAAATTACAAACACTTACCTCATCTGCTGATTTGCTAGTGTTGGTTTGAGCAGGTACTATAGACACATCACTTCTAGTCGGCAGCCCGCGTAACACAAAAACTTCAAGGCGTTTAGGGTCGACATCCAGCATCTAAAAAAGACAGCAAAAGATAACACGATTATGAAAAATATCTATAGTTAACTCCTCGTCGTGTTTTGTATGGAGTTTACAATAAAAAGCAAACAAAACCTTTCTAAGGTTCTGCCCTTTCCCTATTTCCTTACATAACGTATCCGAGGGAAAATTTCTCTAAAGAGTAAGGAAATAGAAATACACCAAAATAAAACCCTGACAGCCAAAATTTTAAAAACCAAACCACTCAAGAACAAATTCTTGAAGGACGTGGATGATTCCGGGGGGGAAGGTCACGAGTTAAATGCAAACCCCTATCTCTCTCTCTGTGAAAAATTAGTTTATCTATAAACAATAATCACAAAAATAATACTAAAAGCTAAAATAATACTACAAATGATCATAATGAAGATGATAATAATACTAAAAGACCCTGACGTTTCCCTCAATGTAAATTAGAATTTTGTCTGAGATCTCCCGCCTCCAAATGGCTTGGGAGTATCTTTACGGAGTATTACCTTAGAAAGAGCGGTTTCTAGACGCTTGGCGAAAAACTCTCTCCATTGCCATGTTTTGTCATTGTTTTCATCCAACACCGCGTCGAATAAGAGACGCACAGTGAGAAGATTATCTGAAGTTAAAAAAAAGAAAAAAAAACCGATTAAGCAACTTTTTCCAGAGACCTTTCGCTTTCGCACTTGTACGCAGCACGAAAGGCATTTTGTTGAAAACTAAGCTCGTACACGACATAAATGACAAGGGTTAAAATACGTTCGAGAAGTGAGTGTTTTGGGCGTATGTGCTACTTCAGTTTGAAAAAAAGAGAGATTTTTCCCGTTATACTCCGTAAAACTGTGATGTGCAACCTACCTATTCAAAACACC